TGCGCTTATTGGGAATGGGAATTTTTTTGAGAAGCTTCTTTGAGGTAACAGAGTGAGTAAATGGGACACTGGACCCGGTTTCCAGTTCTGCCGAAGCTGGGTAATGGCCCCAGTACGTTCATCCGGGTTGAATTGTGAGGTCCCCGGCCTCTTTTGAACTCCTGTTATTTGAAATATTTGAAATAAAGGTGACCAAGAGAGAGAGAAATGTCTAGAAATTTGTAATTAGCGGATGAAAAACTCCGCAATTTTTCAAAAAAAAAAAGAAAAAAAGAAGAAAAAAAAAAAAAGAAAACAGCGCAGGCCTACCAGTAGAGGGCCGCAGAAGTCGCGTGCCGAACCCCTCCCCGAATAGATGCAGTTTTCCCGCATCATGAATGGCGCTCTTCGTCGACGAACTGCAGCGGGGGCAAGGTCCCACTTGCACGAATTGAGAGATATTGACCGTAGATAGCAAAGATCAACGGCCCAAATCTCCTAATTTGCTTGAGTGGGACCTTGCCCCGGAGCACGACCCGAATCAACTCCCGCGCGAAACTGATCCACGTGCCGACGGGTAATGTACGAATCAACAAAGAGACGGTAGGAGGCAGGGCGGGAAAAAGAAATTGAGAATGAGAGCGAGAGAGGCGCGCAGAAACGCACACACACACACACACACACACACACACACACACACACACACACTTTGAGTGAGAGAGAAGGAGGTAGTCTAATGGGTGATTCTGTGTCGATGTCTTCCGGTGCAGCTGTTGAGGATGGCGTCATTGAGGATGTAGATTGGGCTGTGTCGATGTCTTCCGGTGCAGCTGTTGAGGATGGCATCATTGAGGATGTAGATTGGGCAAATTTGGCGCCCGATGCGCTGGTTGAGATCTTCACCTACCTACCTATCCAATATCGATTTCGCATTGGAAGCGTTTGCAAGAGCTGGCGAAGGGAATCGTTAAACCCGGTTGTCTGGAAATCCTGTACGATGAGTGATGTCAGCGACCTCAGCAAACGTTATGATGTCAATGAGCAGGCCGTAATGGATTCGATCCTTCGCAGTCGTAGTGAGCTCATCAGTCTGGCGATCGAGTCTTGTCCCCATTCCATTCTAGGGTTCATCGGAAATCACTGCCCGCAGCTCTTATCTCTCAAACTCCGTCGATGTAGCACGAACGTCACTAGTACCTGTAGGAGTCCCCTCCAGAATGCCGAGGCGTTGGTCCACGGATGTCCTCTCCTTCGATCGATCGAGTTTTTCCTCTCAGACTGCTGCGACCTCCTCTTCACGACCTTCGCTGTGACACCTTTTGTCAACATGCTTGCAATAAATCTCCCAAACTTGGTGTCATTTGTTCTCGAAATGGAGTTTCGCAGCGTCGGGGATAGGGATGTGGAGATCATTGTGGATAACATGACGAGACTAGAGGTCCTGGGACTTAGTCGATCAGGCATCACAGATTCCAGCTTAGGTCTGATTGGGTCAGCGTTACTGAGCTTAAGGTCGTTAACCGTGGATCATTGTTTATGGTTGACGTCAGAAGCTGTGATGACCTTGCGTTCCAATCGCAAAGAACTCTACGTGTCATCCAAAGGGGTCCGGGGAAAAGACCATTGTTGGTACGAAGCCGATGTTGTGGACGATTGGGACGAACAAGCCCATCTCTTCACAGGGTGAGACTAACTACCGTAGTGGGACTGAGTTCAGCTCAGCTCAGCTCAGCTCAGCTCAGCTCAGCTCAGGTGAGATGGTCAGGAAGCTTGCCCTTCGTGAAAATCTTACCTTGCCCTGCTGGTGGTCTTTGAATCGCATCTGCCTCCGTGGCCGTTAGATTAGGTTCCTCCTTAGTCGTTAGATTAGGTTGTGGCGTTGGTGACCGTTTGTCTACGTGGTGGTGGAGAAAGTATGGCCGTTAGATTTTCAGATCGTGGTGGTGGAGAAAGTATGGCCGTTAGATTTTCAGATCGGATAGCTGTGAAGGCTGTAATCTCTCTCTCTCTCCGCAACCTAATCTAACGGTCACCAACGCCACATCTAACGGCCGACGCTACAGCTAAGTCAATCCCGGCGCTTGAAAAATTGCGGCCCCGGAACGTGCCCAAGCTCTCTCTCTCTCTCTCTCTGTCACTCTCTCTGTCTGTGTCTGTGTGTCTGTTTATCTATGTCTGTCTGTTTGTCTGTCTGTCTGTCTGCCTGTCTCTTCCACTGCTTCGCCCCCTCTCTCTCTCTGTGTCTCAGGTATTCAACAGGGCTGTCTGTCTCTGTCTGTCTGTCTTTCTGTCTGGGCCACGGAACGTGCCCAAGCTCTCTCTCTTTCTCTTTCGCCCCCCGCCCCCCCTCTGTTTCTGTCTGTCTGTTTATCTCTGTCTGTCTGTCTTTCTTTCTGTCTGTCTCTGTCTGTCTGTCTGTGGGTCTGTCTCTCTCTTCCCCTGCTCCCCCCCCCTTCCTCCCCCATCTCTCTCTTTCTCTGTGTCTCAGGCATTCAACAGTACGGTCTCTCTCTCTCTCTCTCTCTCTCTCTCTCTCTCTCTCTCTCTCTCTCTCTCTCTCTCTCTCTCTCTCCTCTTAATGCTGCGGTATGTGCGGAACCTCTCAGCACAGGGAGGAGACTTGCTATACAGGCCTAAGGCCTGGAATTGGAGTTGGACAAAAAGGAGTTACGTATGTTTAGTAGTTAAGTCAAGTTCCTACTAATCTCCCCTCTTCTTCTCTCTCCCCCTCTCCTCCGATTGTCTCTGTCGTCTTTCTTTCCCCCTCTTGAGCAACTCATTATCGTAGTATCTGGTCTGAAAATCCGCTTGTATATAAATGTAGTATGAACCTGGCGTTTAGATCAAGAGTTCGTCCTGATTCTCCCCTCCTGTTCCAGTTGTGCCATGCATCTAGTCAGAATAACGGGAATCGGGCGACGCGGAATTGAACGCCAGGGCATTATCGTAGTGTAGTCTCTAGTCTGATAAAATTGGACCAAATACACAGGTATAATGACCTAGGTATAATGACCTTGGTGTTGTCCAAATACAGGTCATTATACAGGTATAACCTTGGTGTTGTATCCCCTCTTTACCTACCGTCTTCACCTAAATAGAACGCCAGGTCATTGTCGACGTATCTAGTCTGAAAATTGCACCAAATGCAGGTATAATGACCGGGCGTTCTATTCGGGTGAAGACGGTAGGGTTTACAGCTCTATTCTCTGCTCCTCACCTCAGCGGTCCGACGGAAGAATCTGTCGG